TACTATGTTAAGTCCTGGCAGCTTTACATCAGGTTATCTTTTTTAGTCCTCTCAAGGTAAGTTGTATTATTATCTTCATTTGACAGATACAGAAATTTGGCTCAGAGAAGTTGAGTAACTTGCCCAAGATAACACAGCTAGCAGGAGAGAGAAAACAGGATTCAAGCCCAGGCAATCTGATCAGAGAACCTTATCCTTAAGTACCATCAAGTCTTCCAAGGGTACCACAGCTGCTCTTAGATTCCGTGAGGAGGATGTGACTTTGGTCCTGAAGAGCAAGCCCTTCTTGGAGGCCCATGGGGTCTGTATAATGAGGTGCAGTGAACTCTGCATGTTTGGCAAACACTATTTGTACAGTGCTGTCGTACATGCCACACAGCACACACACACACAAACACATATGCTTCGCTTCAACATATGAAAACATCCCACCGAGAAGCCCAATGCTCATTAGCAGTGGTTCCATCAGTGAACAAAAGGTCAGCCCAGGAGACAGTCTGCCTATCTCCAGACGCAAGCACTTGGGGCTTAATGATGTGTATATTTTCTATGTGGGCAGTTGACATTCCCTGAGTAAGCCATCTGCAGTTTCCCAATGTGGACAGACACGGCTTTCAGGAAAAGCTGAGCAGAAGGGAGGCAAGACACTGAGGAACAAAGAGGTGCCAGGGAGTCCCCTTCCTTCCAGAAGGGGCTGCCCAGGGTTTGCATGTCCCGTCCATACCAGGGTGGAGGCAGCTGTTTCTTGCGGAGGCCACCCCCATCTCTCATCCAAGACAGGAACAGGGGAGGGGCACTCCCACAGCCATGCCCTGGCCACCGCTTGACCCTTCACGAGGGGATCTGCGTCAGCTGCAGGAAGCTCTGTGCAGAGCTGCCAGGGCCTGGCCGTGGGCAGGGGCAGGGGTGGGAGTCAGCCCTCCAACACCAGCCAGGGCCAGAGGCAGCTGTGGGTGTCCTGGGAGAAGGGCTGGCCTGACAGTCACTGGTCCCTTGATGTGAGTTTTCCCACTGATTTATACTTGTGTTGCTTCCCAGAACAATGCCCTAAAGTGGGGCTCGCTCCAGGGTCACAGATGTGGAAACTGAGCCGCGGGGAGCTCTCTGGAGGGCAGGGGTGTTGCTCACTCCCGTCTCATCAGAATGGAGAGCAGCCCTTGGTGAGCACCAAGCACTCTACCCATTGAACAGCCAACAGTGGACCTGAGATTCCAGGCCAGGCCTGCTGGCTCCACATCCTGTAATCTCTCCACTCCACTCCACTGAAATGAACTATGATGTCCCTGGCACATAGGAGGTATTTGATATATTTGTTGAACAAATGTGTGTGTGTGCACATACGCTTTCACAGCCGGGAAACAGCAGGTAGAAAGCAAGGGGGAGTCTGTCCCTCTGAAGTACCTGCCTAAGGTCAGCTGGTCCACCCGCTGCCCTGGTGACAAAGAGTTCTTCGGGATTTTCTTACGTAAAACCAGTTGGAGTGCCTTTCTCAGGCAGAAACTGCGGGCTGGAGGCTTGGGGACAGCTGGCTGGGGAGGACGCGGAGCTGCCCTTGGGACGAGCATCCCAGGCCCCTGGGCCCATGGACAGCTGGGTCTTTCCCATGGTTCCGTTGAAGCACACCCCTCCCCGACCTCCAGTAAATCCCTCCTTTGTTTGAGCAACTGGGAGTTAAGTATCTGCCACTTGCCACCAAGAATCCAGACTAATTCATTGTCTTCATCAGTAGAGAGGAAGGCCAGGTGACTACAAGCACTCACCCAGTGCCTCCCAGGACGCCGGGTCTTCCTCTCTCCTAGCTTTTCTCTCCCGCTCCACGACTTGACTGGTTCCAAGTTCTATGAACTGACTCTGGCCAGCTTGCCCGACTCTGGGGCCAGGAACTGGCTGATGGAAGCAGGACTGGTAGGAGGTGGGCAAAGGGGTGTTCGTTCCATCCCCAAATCCTGGCTTGAACTTAGCCTGCCTATACAACCACAAACAGAAGACAAAGGACAGAGTTTCATGAGTGCAGCCCTGGACAGTGTTTCCCACTTGAGGGTTGATTTAAGGTCTGGCCGACAGGAAGAAAAAGCCCCATTCTTCTACCTTTCTAATCAAAACCTCCCGTGCCATGTGGAGAAGCCACTGCTGTGTGCCTTGTGTCCGCCTGGAGAAGTCCCTCTCTCTGTACGTGGCCGGGCAGCAGACAATCCGTGAGTCCCAAACAGGAACAGAACTGAAGCGAAGGGCAGGGCTTTGCTTTCTTGATCGCTGGGGGGAAATAAATCAGCGCAGCCCAACACCTGTGAGCAAAGGGCCGTGGAGGAGGGCCTGACGTCCGTGTCCCGCAGCTCTCGGTCCAAACGCCCCCAGCCCCTGCCGCAGTGTCCCGTGGCCTGCCCGGCTGTGAACTACATGGCCTGAGCACCGTGCCAGAGTTACAGCTCCACTGGGCAGAAAACACGGCTGGACAGGCGGTTGGTGGCCAGGGGTCCCTGGGTAGAAGCCAGAAAAATGACAAGTCTCACTGTGTCTCCTCTAAGGCCTACGGGAAGGGGCTGCTCATGGGTCCCCATCGGGGGAGGCACCATTTCCCATCAGAAACAATTCAGCCTGAAGCACAGGAGACACAAACCTCAGGGCCTGTACTTGCAGCCCTGGGAGCCCCAGGGTGTTCCAGGTGGGACGGGAAGCCAGGCCTCACGGGGGCAGCATTTTGACATAAGCACTTGTGGTAACTGAGATCTCAGATGAGAAGGACCTGAATCTCTAAGGCTGCAGGCTTCTGTTGTGATTTTCTTTCCCATTCTCAGAAATACACATTTTTGTACCTAAAAGGTTTATTCTTTTCCTTAATAAGGACAGTCTCCAAGTTATTTAAGCTTCAGCCCTCACAGAAACTGGCTCTTCCCTCATTTCTGACAAATTCAACTCGAAGGCGCATCCGGAGGGACGCCCACGAGTCCACCTCCTGCCTGACCACCACCAAGCCTTCAGGAAGCCAGAGACCGGCCTGTGCCTTTATCCTTCTGTGCGGAGCAGCTGAGACCCAGAGCCCGAGGGGCTCGTGGGGCTTTCTGGGGCTTCTCACAGGTGGAGGAGGGCCAACGCCCTGGCACTGACGGGCCGTAGCCCGGTGGCAGCTGTAAGGCCCCCAATTCCACTCCGACGCAGACACAGTGGCCCCTGGGGCAATCGCCTTGACTCCTTGGGCAAGGGTCTCTTGCACTGATTTGGGGGCGGCCTTGGGGGCCTGCAAGGGATGGGAGCTGCCTGTGCATGCACAGCAAGAGGCGGTGCCTCTGTGGCGACCCGTCAGAAAGCAAGAAGCCATTGCTTCTTCCTCTGAGGTCTGAGCTGATTCAGTCTGTCAGCCACACAGGTTCCCTGAGTGTCCATTCTGTGCCCAGGTCATGAGCTCTACCCCAAGGACTGCAGAGATCAACTCATTTGGCCAGTGGCAGGAGTTCAAGGCTGGCATGGACAGAGTGTGGCTCAGTGTGGCGTAACCTCTCAGCCCCCAGGAGGCACAGCTCAAAGGGGTGGCCTCATGTCACAGGTGGCTTCATGGCTGAGGTGAGGTTTGATCAAAGCCCAGAGGACAAAGGAGTTTGGCTAGGCAACGAGGAGGATCCTTCCTCCTTTCAATCCCTCGTGTTTGTACCCTGGGAAGTATTCTGAGATGATTGGGACTCTGAAACAATCCATTATTTTGAATGGCAAAATTTTGACACTCTTCTGGATGCATATAAGATGGCAGGATTGCCTTTGAAGATCACTAACAGACAGCAGGCTCGGAGAGATCAACAACGGGGTGAGGGGCCTGGAGGTCAGGAAGTGCTGCGAGCAAGCCCTGCCTGGGAAGTGGGTTCCAGCTTTTTCTGATGGTGCCCTGCTGACCTGGCCTCCCCAGGTCTCAAGGTATCATGTTTCCTGGGTCAGCAAAGTGGAGAAACACAGCTCTTGAGAAACAGCCACAACCCTTCAGGAAAGGAAAAGCAGATTGGGGCTTAAAGCATCTTGACCCAAATTTCCTTTGTTGTTCAAGTGGCTTCGCAGAAATCAGGATGAAGGGTTTTTAGGGGTCAGGAAGCAAGAGGGGACATTTAAAAACACTGGCAGAGTTTAGCCAGGGGCCCTGAGAGCTGGGCAACTTTAATGAGAAAGAAAGGAAAATACACCAGTGACCCTGACCCAGACTGTGACTCTTTACGTCAAAAGCTAAAAATGATAATTATTAACAAAATGAAATGCGCCTGGATGTGGAGTGAGGGGCCAGCCGGGTTCTGTCAATTTGATAATGCCCGGTCACGGCCTGTGGGCCCGAAGGGTGGGATGGGAAGTGACACGCTGGTTATGCGGTCTGAGGACTGGCCTCAGGTCCGAGAGAAGTGGAATTTTTCCTGGCATGTTGTTTGAATCCAGCCAACTCTGCTCTGAGCCGAAGCAGCCACATGCAGGTAACTCAGAGTTATTCAAAGGGGCTGGGGTGCAAAATGCTCACAGTGGGGAGTGTCCCTCATTCTTTGCCTGTGAGATGCAAGGGCACAGCCAGCCAACTTCCCGTCTTCCAGAACACGCTCCCATCCATGGCTGCCAAACCGGCCTCAGTTTGAAATTGTGTTGGAAGTATCCTGGCCTTGAACATGTTTCTCCAGTACAGATTTCACTCCATGGGGCTTAGGAGTGAAGGAGGGGCAGAAATCTCCTAAGATCCAGGGAATTCAATTGAAGCACCCCACTGACCCCCCACTCCCATGATGTCATTTCTCTGCCCGAGGCCCACAGATGGGGAGGGCCCCATAGGCCACATGGTGAGTTGGCCAAGTGCAGGCATCAGAGACCAGCGTCACATGCACCCAAGGTGGGGCTGGGGGGTTGTCCACAGCTGGGGGGCTGTGGCCGATTTCGGTGTCCAGCTACTCTAAAGAGAAGAATTCTGGGCAGGAAATACCGTACACACACAAGAACAGGGTCAGAGGCTCCACCAGCATCAAAGGAACATCCAATTTTCTGACCTGGAAGGTCACAAGAAAAGAAAAGGGATCCAGATGGGCACGCTCTGGCCTGCTGTGAGGAGCCCCAGCTGGCACATCAGCTTCAAGGATATCAGGAGGAGCCGCAAAGAAGTCAGGCTGTGGGCAAAGAGAGTTTGTTTTCTAGGAAAGGTTGGGGGAGAAAAATAAGTATGCCTATTTGAAGGACAATTACACAGTCGCTAAAAATCCTGCAAGACTGTGACATGAGAAAATGCTAATGACACAGCTCAAAGTGGAAGTCAAGTCCCAGGCTCAGGACCGGTTGGTTGCTGCACAGGGGCCAGGAGGGATCCCGCAGTGCATACATCCTGCAGGTGTCAGCCTGCTTGCCCTCCCAGACCTGCTTATCCATGCAGTACCTGGGAAGCTGGTTTGGGGGGATTTTTGTCCTTGGTTAACTTTTTGAGAAGACAACTGAGTGGAAGAGAAATATCACAGGCTCTGGAATCAGACAGAGTGGGGTTATATCACATCTTCACTCCGTTTTTTTGTTCTTTTCCTTTTACTGTGATAAAATAGATATAAGATTGGCATTTTAACCATTTTTTTTAGTGTACAGTTCAGTGGCATTAATTATATTCATAATGTCAACCATTACCAATATCTTTTTCCAAAATTTTTCATCACCCCTAACAAAAACTCTGTGTCCATTAAGCAATATCTCCCCATTTCTCCCTCCCGTGAGCACCTGGTAAACTCTAACTATCTACTTTCTGCCTTGATAGATTTGCCTATTCTAGATATTTTCTATAAGTGGAATCATACAATATTTGTTCTCTGGTGTCTGGCTTCTTTCACTTAGTATAATGTTTTCAAGGTTCACCCATGTTGTAGCACAGGCTGAACTTCATTCCTTTTAATGGCCAGGTAATATTCCACTGTGTTGATTTACCACCTTCCGCTTATCCATTCCTCTCTTGGTGGGCATCTCGGTGTTTCTACTGTCTAGCTTGTGAGTGGTGCTGCTGTGGATATCTGTGTGCAAGCATCTGTTGAGCCCCTGTTTTCCATTCTCAGCTTTCACCCTCAATAACTAAGGACCTTTGCCCAGGGGAGAAGGGATAACTGTGTCCTACACGGGACTGTAATGCAGATGGGATGAGATAAAGATGTGAAGCACATAGGATACAGTGGGTGCTTAATTAATATTACTTCCTCATACAGGGCTCATTAAAACCCACCCTTAGCAAAGGGCTGTGAACAACTTAATGATTCAGTGCCACAAATACTCAGCATATATTTGGGGCCAATGAGGGATTCAGGCCCCATGAGGCAACCTCGGCGGGAACTGGAAAACAAGTCAGGAAGCATGTCCTTCACGTGCTTTCTCTCCACGCTTCCCACACAGGGTTGTGGAGGATCCAACGAGAACTGCTCTAGTCTCCTTTTCCAAGCTGTGCACCGCCGGGGGTCCAGCCTCTCTTGGGGCCTCATTTCCCTCATGCAGGAAAGGAGTTTGGCTTAGCTCAGTGGTTTTAAAACTGGGTTCCATGGAGCCATCAGTACTTTACACAAAGCCAGGGCCTGGGGAGGGAAGGAAGGCAAAAGGGGTCCTTGCCTCAAGCACAGCAACGTCTTTGCAGACTGGAAACCTGTAGCTAAAGCTGTTTGCCAAGACCCTTGTCTGGGTGGCCCTTGAGGTTCCCTGGGAGCCAAGGCCCACCCCAGTCAGCCAGCGTCCTCCTTGGGATGAAACGGAGGAGCGGGATCCAAGGACGGGTGGGCTCTTGGGTCCTCTCTCTCAGTGTGCCAGGATCTCTGGAGACCTCGGCCTCAGTGCAGAGGGTGGCTCGAGCAGCAGGGACCCTCCGTGGGCAGCGGTGACATGCCTGGTGCTGGGGTGAACTTGAAATGACCCAGGAGGCCTTGAAGGCCCAACAGCACCCTAGCTCCCTAGTTCAGTGCTCCTGGGTCAATAATCCCTCAATCAAGAAGAGATGTGAGTGGAGCCCAGGGCAGGGAGCCAGGTTGGGTAGGAGAGCAGGAAGGGGTAGACTCTGATCAAAAGCATAGACTCTGAAGTTTCAGCTTCCCCGATCCCAGCTGTGTGAACTTACGTAAGTTACTTGACTTCTCTGTGTCTTCATCTCTTCATCTTTAAAATGGAAACAATAATCCATGGGACAGTTGTGTGGATTAAGTGAATTATTTAAAGCCCTGGAACAGCGTTTGGCACACAGAAAGGCTTGACCCTGAGACCACAGATTTCATCAACATTACAGGCGGTTGAGGGGGTAGGGCCTCTCTGCCAGCATCCCAGCCACCTGCTCGCTCTACTGATGGGAGCCGAGACCCAGGAAGAGGAGACATATCTGGCTGTGAGGAGCGTGGGCAGGTGTGGAGGCTCAGACCTGGGCTCAGTCCCCTCTTGGGCCCCAGCCAGATCTTGGGCAATTACTTGACCTCTTTGCGTGCCCATGTCTCACCCTTCCAGGGAGCTGTCGTGAAGATGGGGTAACAGGGAGGAAACATGATGTTCTAGGCACACACGAGCTGCTCAGTAAATGCTAACTCCCTCTGCCTCACCCCAGGATGGCTAGTGAACACAAATGTGGCTTTATGTGTTTTTAATTCGTTTCTCTGCTACTCCCAAAAATGGAATAGGAGGAAGCCCAGCCCCCACTGCACTCGAGAAACTCCAAGAAGTTCCTCTCTCAGGTTTTCTTTTTGATCCTCTTCTGTCCTCAAGTCTCTCTGCAGTGCTGCGGCAGGAAGCAGGCAAGGCTAGGGTGTACAGTGCAGCTGCCCCTGCAGCCCTGCCAGCTGCCCTGCCAGACCCTGCTCAGGAGCAGCCCGTGCAGACTCCAAGCTCACTGGATTCACTGACAACAGGACGGAGAAGCTGTCCCCGGAACTGGGAGACAGATGCGGGCCAAGGATCCTAGCAGAGACGAATGCTCGGTCCAGGACCAGTGGCTGGAAGCCTGAACCCCATGGAGCATGGCACAGGCACTTGGAAGGGAGGGATTTGCCCCAGCTACCCGTATTCTGTGCCCTGGGTTGCCCTGGACAACCAAAACTTGGTCAGATGGTCAGAGAGACTCTAAGCTAACTCCCCCAGGGCCACAGACCCTGGGAAGAGAGATCTGGGGGTGAGCCTGACCCCTGGCCCAGCGCTCTTTACTCCAGGTCAGACTGTCTCTTCTAACAGGCAGCATGTATAAAACACATCACATGTTGTGTTGCCCTTGTCTATCTTGGATTAATACTTAGTCTACAGGCACACACCTGATCATCTACATTTGCCCTCTTACAGCACTAAACTATGTTTTCTACCTTTATCTTGCATCTACCTACCACTTCAGCATTTTATTAAAAATAATAATAAGGGAGAAATGTGGGATTCACATATAAATCAAGTATAAAAATAAAACGAATAATCATATCTGACTTGATTGTTTATAGTTCATGATGTGTGATCAAAACCGAAAGTTTCTGTGATATGACTGCCCTTGTACTGTTCACCATGTAAGAACTTATTCACTATGTAAGAACTTGTTCACCATGTAAGAACTTGTTCATTANAAAAAAAAAAAAAAAATGCATCATAGCTGGGAAACAGACAGCCTAGCATTTTCCAAAGACGTTGAGATGGTGTTGGGAGGTACAGGGACACAGTTAAATGATACTGATTCACTCAGTGAAAAAGGTATTCCCTTTGCAATTCTCCTTCAGGAAACAGTCTCAGTGTGATGCTACCATGGTGCTAACACATCTCTAATACTCACTAATCTCCCATCAAAACAAAGAGAAAGGAGGCTTTAGGCTCAGAGCCTTAGGCAGGCAAGAGTATCCAGCTAGGATTTTAAAACCAACTTTTCCAGTTCCTTTGATTTATGACAAATCAATCCTGCTTTTCTAGGCATGTTCCTGATACCAGGTTTCCTTTTGAAACTTGTTTATTTTAATTTAAACAGAGGAGCTGATTTAAAGAAAATGTTATATAAATAATTGTAAGGGTGCTATGGAGATAAAGTGCTAAGAAGATCCTTTGAGAAGGACTGGTGGCCACAAGCCCATTTGGGCTCCATATTTATCATCCCCATTACTCAGATGGAGAGACTGAGGCTCCAAAGAAGCATAGCTGGAAGGTGGCGGAGCTGGGGCTCCATGTGCCCCTGAGGACAGGGACTGAAGCCACGGACTGCTCTGACAGGGGTAGTGGTTGCGTCCTGCAAAGCCAGCCAGCTTGGTAGCTCAGACGCCCCGCTGCTGTGTGGGTGGGGAGGCGGAGGCACTGGTGAGGTGAGCAGGGGCCAGAGGCCAGAGAAAGAGGAACTTGGAATAATTATTATTTCCTTTCATTCAAGCTCTTTACTTTTTAAAAGGTGGATGTTTTCCGGAGAGCCAAACAAACCCTAGGAATAGATTTCTTTTGTGCAGAACCTTGGGCTGATGGGTAATTTCCCCTTAACAAGAACAAACTTCCCTGCCTTAGCCTATCATTGTTTGTAGAAACAAAGAGGCAATGCTTCTGTGAAGGGCCCAGAGAACAATATCCTGCCAGTGGACTCCAGCACTAAATGCCCTCCAAGAACTGCCTGCCTGGGGGCATTCCCAGCATCCCCCTGAGGATGCCATGCTGTTCAAGAAAGAAGGCTGCCCCAACCCACCTGTGCACCTCGTTGTCTAGGCCCTTTCAACAGGACCCTCTGCCAGGTCTGCATATCTCCTAGAACCCACTGCTACTCCCTAGAAAAACCATTTTGAAGTTGGGTATCACCTGCCAGGTTGTAGTGACTAGTGTGGGGACCTGGCATAGCTGCTCCTGAACCCAATGAAAATGAACCACAGCAAGATGTCCTACAAACACCACTGCTGAAGCAGGAAACTCAGGGGCTCCCCTTAAGCCCTGTCTCCGTTATTCTAAACCAGCCTCTTCTCTTTCCAAACCTTGGTCGCCTGATCTGTACTGTGGGTACACTGATACGCAGCTTGGCGATCTGAGAGCAGGTCTGTAATATACCACTGCCGTGTTGGACACAGAGGGCCTAATGAATGCTGTCATGTCAACCAGAAGAAGAGATTTTTCCAACAGGCAATGGGGTTTTGTTCTCCAGAAGAACAGGCTTAATGTGCATTACGAGTTGTTACTG